GTTTGTGAAGTAGTAGGCTGCTGCATGCTGAACCACCGAACAGCCAGCAGCGCTTCCAACAAGTTGCCTGGCCCTCCGCTTTCCGGACACCATCACACAGAATACCATATTACCATCAACTTTGAATTGGATGGGAGCGGCGCTATGTCGTTGCGTCTCGTGCGGCGCCCCAAGCGATGCCGCTCGCCCCGATATTGCCGCCAGCACCGCAACTTTTGCCAGCAGCAAGCCAAATCAAATCTGCGATCCTCCTTAGCAGCAGCAGCAGCTCGAGCTCGCACCGACTGCGGAGGGGCCCGAGGGGGCACAGCGCATTGCTGCCCCATGGGCCCTTCCAGCGCACCTCAACGTCACTTCGGACCTTTCGGCCACCAACGCGCAGCACCTTTGCCAGCTTCCAGCCTTTCGCGAAGATTCGTCATCGTCCTCAGCTGTCGCTGCCGCGACCGACTTCCTTAGCCTTAGAGCTGCAACGGCAGGCCTTAGCGCAGCAGCAGCAGCAGCAGCAGCAGGAGGTATTAGTCATTAGGAACATGCCCCAGTTCAAGCATTCCAACGCGAAGCCGTCGAGCAGAGGCAAGTACGGCGGGACCTGCCGCCGACGGCACCGCTGCCGCCGCCGCCGCGTTGCACCTGGCAGGACGCGGTCGCCACAAGCAGTATTGGCGCCACCGACAGCCCCTTCGCCGCCACCGCCGGCGCCGCCACTGCCGTACCAGCCTCCGTACCATCTGCCACCGGGGGAGTTCCCGGGGTGTTGGGGCGCCTGCGACCCCGCACCCCGCGCGCGTTCCTGCTCGCCGACTTGCCGCGCCCGGCTCCTGCGGCAAACAACAAGAACAACAACAACAACAACAACAACAACAACAACAACAACAACAACAAGCAAATGTAATATTCGTTAAAACGCGACCACGAACTGCCTATGGCTGACCTCGCCGACCGCGGCAAAAACGGAGAACTCTCGAAAATTATGCTTGAGTTAATATAGGCCAGAATGGCAGAAAATGGGCAGGCGCGGACCTCCGCGCCAAATGAACGTTCAAATGGACGGGCGACAGCCCCAGCTGCT